ATTGATGTGGCGGAGGGCTCTCAGGGCATGCTCGTGCTCCTGGAACTCAGCAAAGGCATAGCCCAGGGACTGCCCCTTCATGTTCCCATGAACTCCTTTAAGGTCTCGCATCACCCTGCACTATGAAGTAGAACAAGAAAAAGTAGTTACAAAATAAGAAGTCTTGCCTAACAAGAAGAACTTTGGAGCCAGGGAGATAGCTCAGTGGTGTGAGGTGTAAGCACTTGCCTGGCAAGCACAAAGTCCTGAGTTTTGAGTTTGATCCCAGGTACCATCAAAAAAAAAAAAAAAAAAAAAAAAATTTAACACAGTCAATAAGAAATTATATCTTATGAGCTGGAAGTGTGGCTCAGTGGTACAGCACTTGCCTAGCAAAACAAGTTACTAGATTCGATGCCCAACATCTTGGGGACCAAAAAAAGGAAAAAGAGGGAGAGAGGAAATCAATTTATAGAAACATAATCTTCACTTATGCCATCATAACAACAACAAAAAACACACTGAAATAATTCCACCTAATTAGAATAATAGATATTTTCTTGCTTAAGAACTTATAGACATCAACACAGACCAATAAGCACAGCTCAAATAAGCACATACATACAAGACCTCCTGAGGGAAATTGCTAATAGCTAACTGTTCACAATACATACAAAGTAAGAGGCACATGGTACTCTCAGTTATACAACAAGTCTTCACTAAAAGAGAATCAAGAATTGTCTATTGCTCCCATCACTGAAGAAAGCCTCCAGGAAGGAAACTAATAAGGGAGGGAAGAGACCTAATGGCTGCAAATGAGAGAAACATTTCAGCATAGGAAGAAGTTTCCCTAACATGCAGCCTCAAAAATACAAGAAGTTTCAGCTTCCTTCGCTTGGTGTCAGGTGCTCTTTGGAAGGATTTTTTTTTCCCTAAAACCTTAAGCAAGACATAGCAGGCACTGGGGCACTGACGATTCATGGACTATTTTGAAAAAACTGATTATTTACATGGGATTATTCCTGAATTGTTGTTCCCATGTAATGGAAATGATGGAAATGTCTACGTACAGGGGAGACTTGGATGCTACATTTGGGCTACATCCAGTATACACTCTGAGCCTACACTACAACTACTCTACACTGCAGGGAAATTAAGAGAAGTATATAGTGAACCCCTGTTTTTAAGACACTATCTTGCAGAGAGGCCATCCTTACAAAGAATGAAGAAACTAAGAGAAAAATCAAGAACCGGGGAGATGGCTCAGTAGAATAAGCACTTGCCTGGCAAGTGCAAGGGCCTGAGTTCAATCCCCGGTTCCACCAAAAACAAAAAAAAAGAGAGAAATCAATATAATGTACATATGGAACACACAGAAATTTCTATACAACAGGTTTTTAATGTGCAGACCCCAAGTATGGTGCATGCTGACCCGAGAAATTATACAACTGACCCCTGCACCAGTACCACTAGGAACAGCAATGAGACATGTGCTGGCACACTCACATTCTCCCATGTCATCTCCCCAGCCCCAAAGCGGACATTTTGGAGACTTTCAGGGATGAGGGAAACTGGTTTTGGTTATGTAAGAGAGCAAAGTAGACCTAATTAGCAATGGTACATTTAAAATAAATACTGAGGGGCCAGGGAGATAGCTCAGTAGAATAAGCGCTTGCTTGGCAAGTGCAAGGTCCTGAGTTCAATTCCTGACACTGCAAAAAATAAATAAATAAAATAAATACTGATTGACACATGATCAGATGCCAGGATGAACCAAGGATTCGGAGATAATGAGACAACACAAAGAGATCACCATGGTTCACAATTTCTGACCAGTATAGCATTCAGTGCTACCTAAGTGACACATGAAGAGTGCTATGGAAGTAGAGAAGTCGATTCTGTAATCACAGTGAAATCGAGTCCAGCTGGGAACCCAGCGTTCTTTGATTCAACTGTTAAAGGTGTGCAATGATCCCTGTGCTCACCACTGGGCACTTCCCATCAGGAAGAGCCTACCTCCTACTAAATGCTCTTATGTTCTCTGCAATCATATTATAGGGGGCTGGTGAGATGGCTCAGTGGTCTAAAGCACCTACTTAGAACAAGCTAGCAAAGCACAGGGACCGCGGTTCAATCCCCCAGCACCACATGCCAGCCAGCGCCGCACCCTGGCGGGCTGAGCTGGCCACACACACACATAAATAAAAATAAATTAATTTAAAAAAAAAATCATATTATAGCATCTACTGTAATGCTGAAGGCACTGCAGGCATTTAATAAATATTTGCTAGCTGGGTATGGTGGTGCATGCCTGTGATCCCAGAACTTGGGTGGCTGAGGCAGGAATACTGCTGCCAGTTCAAGGACAGCCTGAACTTGAGAGAGCATGTCTCAAATAAACAAAACTTCAAAAATAAATACATGCTGAATTAATTCATGAAGATACTCCCTCACATTATGCTATAATCTGGGCAGATGTGAAAGTTTGGGGGTTTTTTGGCAGAACCAGGGATTGAACTCAGGTCCTTGCGCTTGCCAGGGAAGTGCTTATTCCACTGAGCCATCTCCCAGGCCCCAGATGTGAAAGTTTTAAGAAGAAAAAAACAAAACTGAGAAAATTGCCTACCTTAGCCTTGCAAATTGACAAGCTGATACCACAGACAAAAACAAACACTTGGTCCAACCTAGGAGAACCGAAATTCTGAAGGGGCAGAGCAATGCTCACCTCCTTGATGCGTACTCCCTTCTCCCCCCTAGTGGCATTCAGCAGCAGCTTTCTCAGCTGTTTGTCATCCACAGCCTTGGGAAGATTGTGCAGGC